TCCTGCTGCTAATTTCCATACTGCTGTACTTGCTGGGCACATCTTTCCATATCTCAGCTGAAGTCATGTAAGTTCTTGGAGTGGAATGGCCAAGGACTACATTTCCTTCTTCCACAGCAGCAGCAGAATCATGGATGGAGTTTGTTCCCCCAGGATGGTCTCACTAGGTAGCTGCCTACAGTCAAGACATGACCCACACTCTCATCTGCACTTGTATTTTCCCTTTTCTTAGTTGTTTGGGGTTTTTTTTTAAATCTTGGATAGGTAATACTTTGCAGTTAAACATAATGGGAATTGAACACCATCTTAATGTATGGTGGTAACAAGTTCATGTGGTTCTGGTGATAGCAATCCTAGAGGAAAGTTGTAGCCTATTTTTATAGCAGCCTGGTTAATCTGGGAGCCCTGAATGTATATTCTGTGTGGCAAAAATATCTCTAGACACAATATGTACAGAGCTAATAGAGCTTTTCTTGCTAATACAGGCCTGTAGTTTGTATTTCCTTCTTTCTCTTTGCCATGTAGCAGCAGAGACACACAAAGATTTTCCTCCTCTGAAATACCAGGTGGGTCCTGGGTGTGGATGTCACATACCCCACTGTGCCACATGTGACCCTGAGTCACATTAAATCCTTTTTTCCCCCCCCCCCACCTCCAAAAATAAGGAAGGGGGTGCAAAATTCTTGCTGTGGTGCTACTACTCTTTTCATTGCTTTTTTATTTCTCCTCCTGGTCCAATTCCAGGAACAAAGTGGACCCTAACTGGTCAGCTGGAGATGATGGAGCTAAAACAAAACAAACAAAAAAAATCTCCCAAACTAAACCAAACCTGCTCACTCAGAAGTGCCAGAGGTGACAGAAGTGAGAGGATGATGTGTTTGATGAAGGGACATAGATCTCTAGAGGTTTGGGGTTTTTTTTCCCCTTCAAGCCAGGAGTAGAGCAGGCTCAAGGTCAGTCTCTCCCTCAGCAAGCAGCTGTCCCCACTGCCCTGGTATGCTCAGGCTGGTGCCTGTGAAAGTGGCAGCAGCTGCTCTGCCAGAGGTTGTGCACCTTCCTCCTGCCACAGTGCTGTGCCCTCAATGCCAGAAACCCTGGGGTGCCTTACCCATGCCCCTGGCAGCACAGTGGTTAGGGGAGCAGAGTGTCAGCACCCCACTCCCTCAAGGTGTTAGCATTGACTCGTGGCTGGTGCTGAGGGTTACACTCTGCAGGGCCTAATGTGGTCTGTAACCAGAAGTCAATTTGAGTTTCATCAGATGTGTCCGTCAACAGCTGTTTTCAGCTTCTCAGGTACAAAGGACCAAATGTAATACTTAATGTTTCCTAACTCAATGTACAAAAGGGTATTTTGTTACTTCAGTCTCTTTGGGTTGTGAGTAGAGAACATTCTGTACATAAAAACTGTGTTAATAAATGCAATTTTGAGAACCTCATTCTTAGTGTCTTCAGTACCACCACTTCAGCAGATGTTAACTTTTTTTCAAGAAGACAGCTTCAACTTTTATTTAAGGAAGTTTTGTGTCAGTTACTAACAATTTTCTTCCATGGTTCTTTTGAAACATTCAGTTGCCAGTTAAATTCAATTTATTTCACATCAAACACTTCCAAACTGGGATCAGATTCTGCTTACAGCAAATCTAGTTTCCTAGTAAGTGACTGTGTTAAATTAAGTTTGAGGACTTCAACCATTTTTTCTAGACACTTTATCTTGATGCGTACAAACTTTGCTATAGGTTACGTCCCTCCCCCCATAGCAGCTGCTTGGTTGGTTGTTCTTGCAAAGTACCATTGCTTATATTTTTCAGGAGGGAAAAAAAACTTATTAGCCAAGTAGCTCTAATGTCTAACCCCAGGAATGTACTATGAGACTAGTCAATACATGATGGACTTTAAAATCTAGCAGTTTATTGCTCAATTCCTTAAAACCCAAAGATTGCTGGCAGAATCAGCTCTTGCATGTCACCACAACGTTAAACATACACAGAGTTCTTACTATAAAAGTACTTATTGGTCCTAACTATTAAGCATCTCTGGCAACTTAACTAACCATAGAAAAACTGCACAGGACTTAACATGCTATGTTTGTTGACTATCTCTGAGGTTTGCATGTCAGTGGTGTTTAGAGTAATAAATCAAGGAGGTAACATCATGTCCATTGCTTAATTACAGACTGGGAGACTGTGGTCCCTGTGAAGGTAAGAGTAGGCACTTAGATTGGTTTTGTGAGCTTATTCTAGAGGCAATATAAAAATAGATTATATTAAAAGGAAAAATTTAGTGTTTACAAATGGTTTTGTAAATAGGCTAACACAAAAGGTACATCTTGTTACACTTAACCTAGACTAAGGAGAACTTCATCTGAAAATAAAGTAGATAAGTGCATTTTTCACCTTCATTCAGATGCATATAATCATGCAGACTATGAAAATGGACTGTGGTAGAAAGTTGAGGCCTGGGATTTGTTAAAGGAGCTACCAGCTCACAGGAATTTCAGTGGAATTGCAGGCCATGGAACTGCAGCAATGCCATTAGCCCAGCTGTGCTCTCCTGCCTCCCAGCAGAGCAAGAGGCTCATGCCAAATCATTGCTGAAGATTGTCACCTTCCCAGCCACAGCTCTACCCTCCACACTCACTAATGCAAAGTGGCCAAGTCATGCTGTTTTTCCACTGGAAATCCAGAGGGAACTCCGCTGCAAAGCTGACGGGTGTCCTCCACCAGGAGAAGAGCAGTTGACCTTGGGTGTGCACAGGTGACTGAAAAACCAGAGATCCTTCCCTGCCTCTGCTACTTCCACACAGGCTGCAGGAAGGGGCAGGAGTGGTTTATGCTTCTGATTCCTCCCCTGCTTCATGCATGGCTCCATCCTCTTCTGAGAGATCATTCAGAAGCATGAACTTTCCATCGTTTGTGAATGGCACAGACTTCATGAG